GTTTCCCACTATAATGGATCTGACTGAAAATATGTGGCCTGTGAGAGTTCTCTGCATAGTAAGTTACGGCTATTTCTTTTCCCCTGGCTCTTGCAGCCAGTTTTTCATAGCTTTTGCCTGCCCTGTTGGAGAATAACGCATTACAGTGAACAATGGGGCAGCTGAGCTGTTCCTTCAGAGACCTTGTTTCAACCCCAGACATAAGGGCTCTGGGAGCTCCTGTAGCAGCTCACTCCCCAGAGGGTGACTTCTTAGCCTTGAAATTCTAACTTGGGAAGACAATGATACATAATGTATTGCTTACTCTACTCTTAAAAAGAAGAGGAAGGACAAAATGCCACAGTGAAATGAAGCAAGCCAATGGGTAAGCCATGTTAACATGCTTAGGAAAAAATAAAGCCCAAGAAAAGCCATTGTCAATGTCAGAGTTCCTTGGCTGTCATAGTCAATCATATAGACTCCAGTGATGTTATGTCTGCAGCAGACGATTTTTATTATTTATGATGGGCTGTGGGGAATTTGCCTTTTAGTTGGATCTGTTTTGGTGCTACCACCCTTTTTTCCCCCTGGGCTGTTTCAGGTCTTCTGAGAGCTCTGTTGCAGAGTTTTTTCTCAGATGGTCCATAAACTTTGAAGTTACTTTCCTGTATCTGCTGCTGTAATACTTATTTTGACTGGGAGCTGACACCAGACTGAATGGATACATTGAATGCAAGATTGTATGTCATGTCTTCTCTTAATGAAGTCGGGCAGAGGGGTGAGCTTTCTGCTGTAAAATTTCCTTTGTGGTCTCACACAAAGAGTGGACATTCAGAAACAGGCGGTGATTTCCCAGAAATGTGAAGAGCTGTGTTTGGGCAGACGGTTAGAAAGCTGCCAAAGGAGACATTCTGTAAATTAGAGTGATCAGCTCAGATCTGTTTTGGGTTTAAACCCTGTATACAGGGCTGAAATTTTGAGCAAGGACATTAGGCTGCAGCATTGCATCATGAGAACAGATCACCACTGCTCAGCAGTTGTGGGGACAGGACACTGTTACCTAGCAACTTCTCAGCGCTGTCTTTTATAAATCCATCCTGTCACGGATGTCATGTATACATCGTGGTTGGTCTTCACAAATTTTGCACTGGGCAGTACTGCAAATATATCTTCTGAGCAGTGGTATCCTTGGCAGGTATTAAATCACAACAGCCCAGATTATTATTGCCTTACCTGCTTGTACAGCAAGGCAAGGACAATGGATTAGTTCTTTGTGTTACCAACCTGCTTGGATTCTGAGATGGAGAAGTGTCTGTGGGAGCTGTTACTCAGCCTTCCTCCTTCTTTCTTGTACAGATTGAGAAAGAATGGACAATGATCCTCGTATATTCCCATGCCTATAAGCTGCTTTCCATCTTTTGTTTCAAGAGATGATTATGAGCTGTAACTTCACTGTCTTAAGGTGAAGAACCTTTACTCAGGCTCAGTAGCAAAATTAGTAAGTAGAGATAATCTCAACTTTGGACAAATGCTGCCTTCCTATACCTCTACACAGTTCTCAGACATGGGATTTGATTCTGGACAGATATGTGTACACTGTAGTACTGTAAAAAGGGAGTTGGACATGAGGGTGGTGAGGCACTGGAACAGGTTGCCCAGAGAAGTGGTAAATGCTCCATCCCTGGCAGTGTTCAAGACCAGGCTGGATGGGCCTTTGAGCAACCTGGTCTAGTGTGAGATGTCCCTCCCCATGGCAGGGGGTTGGAACTGGATGATCTTAAGGTCTTTTCCAACTCAAACTATTCTGTGATTCCATGATTATCCTAAATATTATATGGAAAAAATTCTGTGCTGATTCCTGCATTACCATTTTAATTGCTTTCCATTCATTCTATTATAAGCGGATGGAGTGTGGCATCTCTTGCTTCAAAGTAGTTACTTCAATTTGATGTGCTATGACCTGGACTCTTGGGTTCTGTTACAGTTCAAGTAGTTCAAAAAGCTAAGCTTTCTCTATAGAAGCTGACAGACATCACATCCCAAAAAAAGATGCCATTAAAAAAAGAATTTCGCATTTTGAAGTCACCAACTGTGGCAGTAAAATATTCTGGTCTGTGAATTGCTCATGCTTAAGTGACTTGATATTAACTGGAACTTGTAAACTGAGTATCAGAGACACTGGGAAGACTAAGGTCCTATTCTAGCTTTTTTTTTTTTTTGTGGGTTCTCAGCATTTTTTCTATGAGAGAAAATTTCACTGGAAATTGTCACCTTCTGTAAGAAGGTTGTATGGAGAGGGTGAGACACTAGCCTGTCACAATAGCAGTGAATCCTACCTTTAACAGGTTTTGTGATGAAGAATTGTAATCTTCTTCTTTTTACAGCAATGACTGTAAGGACAGGAATGACATACTATTAATGCATTTTGCAGGCTGCCCCTTGACTGAGAAGTTTAAACGAGATCAGTACTCTGTGCTGCATACAAATCAACGTTTTTGACTCCATATCATGAGAGATAATTATTATGTTAAGTTGTCCTTCCCAAAACACATGACCTGGACAGTTATGGTGAGTTGCCTTTCTTGGTTCCATGCAGACTTTAGCCCATGTTTTAAGCAGCTCAAGCTACAGAAGCCAGTAAAAGGGATTTCAAACTATTTTGACAAGTACATGTTGTATTCTTTTTCTCCCAATTTAATCAATGGGATTATTCTGAGTGTACTGACTCTGAGTACAACTGTTGCTGTTTCATTTGAGTAGGAAAATGGTGGATAACTACCCTGACCATACAGTGTTGAAAGTATGTCACTTCAAGGAAAGTGATTTCTGTTTGGTCTTCTTCCTTTAGCTGTCCTGTCTTTATGTTGAGATCTTGATAAACTCAAGAAACAGTCAGAAAAAGTGGGATGTGATTCAGTTAAGGATGCATTCAAATTCCTTTCTGTATGCAAAAGGAATATTAAACATGAAAATATGGGACAAGGAATAGATAACAGCTCTGAACAAAAGGGTGTGTGGTTCACAAAATGAATGGGGGCTAATGTCAGTCTGCTGCAGAAAGGAAAAAAGGTCTTATGTGTAGTGGGAATGTGTAAAGAGGAAGAGAAACTGCAACATCTTGTATCTAACATGGTATACAGAAGACATAGGTAGGGTGTGGTATCAGTCAAATCAAATATATGAAAGGCTGCTTCTGACTTCAGTGACTAAGTCAAGACATGATGCACTTAGACTGCAGCGAGGTAGATTTCAGTAAGGGGAAAAGTTTTCTAATACTAAGGGTACATTTTTGTTTTGTTTGTTTGTTTTTGTTTTGCATCCGTTGCTTCAGGATGATACACGGAATCAGTTACTGGCAGTTTTTAAGTGAAGGTGAATACTAGGCGAATGTGTGGTACAGGCATTTTAGCACCACTAACCCTGACTTAGAGCATCCAAAGAAATTAATTATGTGACCTTCTTAGGCTCCTCTGCGATTGTGTCAATATGCATAGCAGCATTATCTTATTGTTAAGATAGTACTTGATAAGAGGCAGGAAGAAAGTTAACATATTTTTTGGATACTTTCATTTTAAATTACCAAATATCTATCCATGCCAATTCCTAACATCCCGGCATTAAAAGCTTACAATAACATATGAAGAAAGTGTCCTAAATACACACGGAGTGATCTCCACAATTCAAATCAGCCTCTGTTACCAGAGCTGCAGGGCCATCCTTGGCTGATATCTTGGTTTTGGGGTCATCCCACCCCTTCTTTCCCCTTTATTCTCTCTATTACCTCTTCTAACTATGGAAGACTTCCTACAGACAATTTCTTCAACCCCTTTATGATGACACATAGTCTTTCAATCTGGCCATGCCAGGTGGTAAATTGTCATCAAGACCACTCATTTTAAATCGTGCACCCAGCATGATGGGGACTTGACAGAAAAAAACCTGCTCTTTCATACAAGCTGGATTCCCACACACTTTTCTTTTGGCTCACTTTTTCCTTTATCCAAATACTAAGTCTTGTGATCTAAAGTCCTTGAGTCAGAGCTTCCACCTACTGTCTGATTTATGTCTTGCACGTGCTTTTTTGCTCTGTGTAAAGAAGGCTGTGGTCTCTCTTGGGTACCTTCCCCCTTGCCCTTCACTTGATCAGGGTACCTAAGGCAGTGGATCAGTTTAATTAGTCAGTCAATTCAATTAATCAGGTCAAATACTTGGCAAGAAGTGAGTAGAGCACTCATTCTGGAAATGGCTCTGAATGGCAGAGTTTGATTAAGTGATTGTCTGATTTCCAGTTAAACATTTAATAAATCTTATCTTTTATGCAATGTTATGCACAATATGTGGCATATGAAAGCAGCCAGCTGCTTAAGACACACACTGTGCTATTCAGCATACTGGCCAGCCAGCCAGTGTGCAAATGAATCAAGATGCCAAGCTATCTGTGAAGGGACATCATAGTGGGGAAAAAGGGAAAAAAGAGGGCATGGTAGAAAAAGAAGGTAGAGGGGTCATAGCGATGGTGGAAGAAAAAGGAAGTATTTAAGAAGCTGGGCATGGGGCTGAAGCCACTGGTCATCAGTTGAAGTCTTTAAATGTTGAACCCACTTGTTTTGAGTTGGATACACCTGGTTTGTCATCTGATTTTCTTTAGTGCATCACGTATCAGCTGTTGTTGCTCCACATGAGGACAGAAGCTGGATCCAAGATAAAACAGTTTGGGCAGTGACCTCAGTGCTAGCTGAGGGTTACAACATATGATCATCTTGGGGAAGCTGCTCTTGTTCACAGGAGAGGGATAAACTAGTTAGAAATGCTTCTTTTGGCCCAGTGAACTACACTGAAAGAGAGCAAAAACCTTAAAAAGTGACTTAGAAACACTAATCGCTGAGCAACCAGAGGATCTGGACAGAAAAAGGAGAGAGACCTGTCAGAGGGATGGACCTAAAGAAGATTCTTGGAATAGTATTAGTTCTAGTCAAATCCATGATGAAGTCCTAGGTAGAAAACAAGCTCAGAGCAAATGGTATGTTTCTTACATGGAAATTTTATTGTTCTCTCTCTAGAAACTGCTTCATTCATTGATGAAACTATTTTAAAGAAACCCCCTGTGGCAACACATACACACACAGTCTATTCAATCCAGCCAGAGACTTGACTCAGAGAATCAGACTTTTTCAAGCAGAAATGGACATACCTCCTTGTTTTGAAGCTTATCAACAAAAATGAAGTGCTACCACTTGCATCATTAACATTTATGAAAGTATAGAGAGCACCAAGGCGCATTTTTACCTATCAAATATAATGCCATTAATATAATCCTTTTTTTGTGTGACATAAGCAATTTTATTTTTTTACATAAAGTTGTTTCTGCTTTTTTTTGTAAGCCATGCTATGATGGATCTCTTAACTGCAACCATTCCTTCAAATTTCTGCCCCATAAGCTTTGAGTGACAAAGTTTTCTTCAGCTGACAGTAATTTTAATTTGAAATGCACACAGGATTTATGTTTCTCTTTACTCAGCAGTGCAAGTCTGACAGCACCAGATGCCCTTAAGACCTAGTGCTTCTATGACTTAATTACACAAATAAAGTCTACAAATTCAGCATGACAACACCTGAAATGAGTGGGATTTGTTCCATCTTCCTTTTAGTCTCCTTTCATGCTTGAAAGGTTAAGTGCATGCAAAGCACTCCCTGCATGAAGGGTGGAAAGGAATCACGTTGTGCTCCTGTCCATCCCCTTGCTGCAGGGATGTGGTCACAGGGACTTGAGGCCCTGGGATGAAATGCCCCCTCCCACCACAAGGGTGGGTCTGGCTGGGCACACTGAGGCTGGGGCTGTAAGGAGGGATGTGAGGGATGAGTATAAATAGAAGAGAGATTATAAAGAAGCTAATAATGAATGGTAACATTTAAAACAGGATGAGGGCTGGGGAGATCGGGAGCAGTGTTTATGAATTGCTTTGTCCCCTGTTCCCCTATCTCTTTTAGAAAACACAGTTCACTGAAATCTGAAGTAAGCTCCATGATGCTGTAATGAACTAATGTCTATTGAAAATTATCTGCTTGGTAACAATTCTTCTGTGCTCATTGTAGTAAACCTAGTAATTATCTCACTGTTTTTTATATGGATGGCTCAAGCATTTCATAGAGTCAGCATTAACACATGAGGAAAAACCTCTGAAGGTTGTTCATCTTTATACCCTCTTTATATCACCTACGTTCTTATGGTAACTGTTCTAAAGCTCATGCTGTCCATTTTAATTACATTCATATGAACATCTTTTAAACTCCACAAGAAAGATGGCTTTAGTGATGCTTTATTGATGTGCACAAGGAGCCATGAAATTATCTGAAATCCATAACACTATTTCTTTGCAAGAAGCTTTAACTGCTTTACACTCTTACGTAAGTGGGACCACTCTGCATGTGCGTGTATGTTTAAATGCACATCAGCGTGTTTCTGTCACGCCATTTCAAGGTGACAAGTGCGGAACTGGAGTGGATCTCCAAGTAGGCTTTAAGTTGGGAGTGGGGAAAAAATGTCACATAACATTTGAGACTGACTGAATTACCCTGGATTGTTGAGACATTTTGCTGTAGATTCTCCATTTCATTTTCTTTCCCTTGCTCATTATCTCATGTAAATCCTCCCCCCACCCTTTACTAAATCCCTTTTTATTTTATGTGAGCTGTCGTTTCACTTGCAGTAGGAGAACCTTTCATCACAACTTTTACAGCCATCTTACACATTTTAGAATGGGGATGAATTGACTGATAACCTGCTGGTCAGACATGTCTTCCTCTGATGACAGTACAAGCCATCTTAGATTACTGATTTGGACCAGATTCTTAACAACTAGGGGGCTGTGCTTTGGCCTGAAAATTTCCACCTTGGTAGAACACAAACAACACTCACAGGTGAGTAGTTTTGCTTATACATCTTTGGACTTCATCATTTCCCTTTGATAATCTGAAAGGGTTTTGTCAGGTAGCAGAAAAATGAAAAAGAGCTTATTTAAAAAATAAAGCTAGTTTTACACCATCAATAGCTGCAGCAAATTCTCTTTTTGAAACCAAACCTAACTCTGCAGTGAGATGCTGCTTTCCTGGGATAGCAGACAGCAAGATCAGTTCATGCTCTTGATTGTCTTGCAACATTCTCTTTGGGAGACTGAAGTTATTCTAGATGAATCTGAGAGTATTTGTACAGGCTTCTTGTTCCTTCAGGGCTAACCCTTATACCAGCCAAAAACAGTGTGTGAGAAGACCTCTGGAGTTACAGGGTAGGCTGTAGGGAAATTTAAGCATAGGATATTTAAGCATATTTGATACATAACTGCTCCTTGGTCTTACACGTTCAATACCGTGAAGTCACGTGTTGTTAATTATGGAGGAAATGTTTGACACAGCAAACAGATTCTCCTTGTGGCAATGCCTGCTGTGTCAAGATCTCTAGCCTTCTGCTGTGAATAGTACATGGAAGATGCATCATGAGCTGTTTTGCATCTGCCCACATACTGAGTTGGCTGCAGGTTTTGTATCTGTGCAAGCACAATTAAATATTACTGCCTTGAGGAAAAGATAAAATAATTTCCTCATTTTGACAAAATTCAGTTTCACAGCCACAAGAGCGTGGCTCTGTCAGGAACCATCTACCTATTGTGGGCTAGGAGCAAAGGCTGAAGGAGCTCCCTTTCCTGATGCCGTGTCTGTGTATTCAGTGTATATAAATCTGCTGCTTCCCTTGCTAATACTGAGCTCGTGTAGCTAGCCCTTGTCCTGCTGTCTGTTGGAAAGTCAGAAGGTAGCCAGCTGCCTCTGTCTCCCCCCATTCTGCCCACCAAGGCAGCTTTACATGTGCAACCTTTTCCTTCAACACGAGCAATGGGATGTGTTGCAATAGGTGCTCGCATTCAGAGGTGTGTGAGGAAGGCACCTGAATGAGCTGCCCTAAAGAGACAGCCTGAACCTAAGCTGGGGTCACTGCCATGAGACCAACAGGATTTACCTCCTGTGTTTACCCCTACAAATTGGCTGTGTCCAGCATTCACTTACTTTAGGTAATCTCTTATTTTGCTTGTGCCTTCACCATCACTGACTGTAGCCCTCAAAACTCTCTTTTAACCTGCACTGTCTTGGAACTACAAGCCAGTAGGGAGTAACGGCTATTCTCCCATTCATAGCACCAACACTTGGGAATCATTTCCTGTTGCATTTTCTAAGGAATCCTGACTTGGAAGAAGTTACTAACTTCCCGTTTCCACTTTTTTTAGCACATGCAGTCACAAAGGAGCAGGATGCTGCAGGTGCTCCAGCCTGTAATTCCCCGTGCAGCCAGCTCATGCAGAGCTGCTGAGTGTGTATTTCAGCTGGAATTACAGATGCTGTGTATTTCAATGATGAATCTGCTACAAGACTGGAGAAAGGTAACAAGTCTGTTACTGCCAGACACGTTTCTGTTTGCATTCCTGGTGGCTACTGCTGTATTGCTGTTAGATTTTAGCACTTTTGTTTGAGGACGGACTTCATATTAAGAGATTAGTTGTCTGAAAAACAAAGCCTGCCTGTGCACATTTGGTACAGAGGGATTTCAGCTACCCAAACAATCATGTAATCAGGTTTCTTTTCTCTTTCTAGCAAAAGTTTAAAAGTTCACTGTATGGATTCCTGACAAGTAATATATTATTATATATATATTTTTTTAAGAAATATTTATTATTTAGTTTCTCTGTTATTCTTGCCTCTGTTGAAAATGTGGCCATGTAAATGCTTTGACTGAAAATTAGCAATACAAGGTATGTGCAAAGACCTATGTAAGATTTCTAGATAGGGAAAGAAGCGTCAGTCCTGTCCTTGTTTCTTGCTGAGGTAAAGACAGACCTTTTAAATTTTGAGTTTTCATACATTGCTGTTTTCTAACTTCCCTGGATTTCTGCCTAACTCCTAAGGAAAGAGAATTCCCACCAGTGCTACACACACATATACTTTTGTCTGAAAATAGTGTATATAATATTAGGAATTTACGAGGGTAGGGCTGGACCCCAGATAGGTTTCCCCTCATGTTTTCTTACTCAAAAACATGCAACAGCTTCCACAGAAGCAACTTAGCCTCACACCACGGCAGCCTTGTTCAGACTGCTCCTCAAGAAGGTGTGAAATTGGTTACTCTGGAACAGGGAAACTGTTTTGCACGACTGCTCAAGCCCATAGGCAGTCAAGTGAAAGGCAAACAGTACTGTGCCTTTCTCTTCTGTGAAAAACATCTTCCTTGGATGCTGATACTGTGAGCATTCAGAGTTAGGATGTGACTAGGTTAGGCTGATTCTGCTAAGTGAGCCAACCTTGTGCTTTAACTTGGTGCATGTGTGTCTTGCTGCAGGTCTTGGTGCAGGCAACTTAAACTGCTTCTGACCCATGGATGTTCTGAAATAGAAATGGTACAGCTGTATTTGTAGATGCCAAGCCCAAATTAGTCATCGCTACTGGGTCTGGACTAATTATTTTCAGCACAGCGCTGAAAGATCCAGCTTCCTTGCTTCTAGATTCAAACCAGTATCTTATGTTATGAAAAGGCAAGCCTGGAAGCGTGATGATTAGTTTATGGCTCATCCTGTGATGGAGTATCATCTCGGACATCTCACATTCTCCACGTATGATGTAAAGCATGTAATTCAGGAGTGCAGGTGCCATTCACCTACTCAACTGCACCACTGCAAATTAGACTGAAAGAGCTGCTATTCAAACTGGTCTCACAAAATAGACTGGAAAGAGTGCAGAACAAGGCTCTAAATTTAGCCTGTTTAGAATGACACACCACTGAGTATTCCCATCTATTTTCAAAGATGCAATAAAACAGCATGGCAATACTAGTAAATGTCATTAGCTCTTTGAATTAATAGAATTACTGCTGGCAGCCAACAGTAATAGATTAGAGCAATTCTAATCTACTACATTAGAGTAATTCTTGGCGGTGTGAACATAATGAATCTGAAGCGTTTACAATACAACCGTCCAACTAAAACTTGAAATATAAATTTCAGCCTCTAATCACTTCCTTTTTTTTTTTTTGCCTGCTTTCTCTTTATTCAAGGCAGTATGAAATTATTTTTCATTCAGTCATAAAATTTCTGTTTAAAGTCTCTAATGGTTTTCAGAAATGCAGTTGAATGGTTAATGTGATTAATTAAAAAAAGTCCTTCTAACACAGGACATTTTTGAGGTTTAAGAAATATACATGAAATCACTGTTTTGGGGGGTAGATAGATTAATACCTTAAGTCATGCCATTGTAACTGGGCTATGAATTTTAAAGCACCGATCCTGTTCTATAGCTTCTTTAGAAGTCTTTTCAGTAAAAGAAAAGCTGTGTCCCAAGCTTATCAAGTGGTTTATTAATTTCTTCCTGGCATTTAATAGCTGTATTGATAAAACAGCATCCTCACAATAGCATCAGCACTATGTAAACCCTCAGAATGCTACAGAAGCCAGTATTCTATCACTACAGAGTTTAAGACTGATCCAAATTTCTCTGGTTTTGGTATAACTCTCTGGTATAAATGGAGTTATTGTTGATTTATGTGTAAGAATTAAGCCCTGCTGATGCTGCTAACACTGGAATGGGATTGGGAATGGGATTACAGTTTCTTCTGTTTGTGATCCATTCTTTGCTGTTGCTACCCTCTGTCTGGGCTATAGTCCAAACACTATGTGAGTGACAGAGACTCTGAACTGGTTGAGAAAACAGTGTCCTTCCATTTCTCACCTATTTGTGTGAAATTTTTAGTTATTTTTAAATAGCACACTGAACAGAGAAGAGAGCGGTTCCTTCTACATGCCCCCAAAGCAGTGCTGGTAAGACATGAGCAAACGCTCCTTGTCACCTTTTAACATACGAGTTTAGTTACTGAAAAGGATCACTGCCACCTTTTAGTAATCCCATCTTTGATTATCAAAGGTACTAAAAGATGATGATGGCTTTAATGTAGAACAGCACTTGTGTGTTGCTTGCCAGAAGAATTGATGCAGGTGGATTACATGTTTTCAGAAGATCTGTACAGATACTGAAAAATATATTCTGTGCTCTTTCCCCAGTGGCAAATTTATGGACAATAACCTAATAACCTATTTCCTCAGATATGAACACAAAACCAAATGTTGAACCTAACGACTGCACTCTGGAATGATTACTGACAGACTACATCCTGCATGGCAAAGAACCACCAGTCACAGGTGAACATCCCCGAGACCATGATGTGTCTGGAGAACCTGATACATGGCTCCTTCAACACAGTGGTGAAAATCAGGCTTCTTTTTTTATGGAAAGTTTAATCTCTCTATATAATCTTAAAAACATGAACCCCGTAAGATTGCCACCATTTATTTTCTTGGTGAGCTATGTATGTTTGTCTGTCAAATACATCACCTTGATGTCCCTGAGAAACTGAAGTTAGAGCAATATTTATGCATTTAGCGGACTATTGAAGAGCTAAAAACATTCCTTGTGTTTCTTCTTTACAACTAACCTTCCAATACCACTGTAACAGAGAGGCAGAGCTTTTTGTAAGGTGAGCAAAAATAGTGGATAAAACCTTCTCTACTGTTTGACAAAGAACAACATAAAAAGCGGAGGGGGGAGAAATAGATATACACCGATGTAGAGATAGGGAGGCCCTGTGTTTCTGAAATGACCAAAATTACACTAATTATAAGCAATTCTGGATCCTTCATGCCCTTCCCTTCAGGTTTTCATCATTCTGTACTTTCTAATATTCTGAAGCAACCAAATAATAGTCTACACAGGAAGAACTTGCTAGAGGAAATGGCTTACTGAACAGTAAATGCAAGACAACAGTGTAACTAAATGCTTGCTCTTCTCTGCCTACGTTGGACAGCCTTCCCTTGGTCTAATTGAGGAGGCATTTTTACTTTGCTATTGCTTCCAGTTGATTTCATTCCAGAGTGGATGGTGAATGGAAAAGAAAATAAAAAACAGTTGTCTCTGCAGCCTACCATAGAAGCAAATGGTATCACTGGTTTGACAAATCTGCCAGACTCAGTAAAAACAAAAAACCCTGCTTTTTTCTTACTGTTCTGTAATTGGTTTACAGATTCCATAAACTTTAGGGAAAAGACAAAACATTCAGAGACTTGGAAGGCTCCATAAAAATCAAGTAATTTTTTTGCTCATGTGTGTAAGTCCAGCAAATGCTGTTAACATAATTCTCTTAGGCTTACAGTCAACTGGACAGGAGAAAATTTGTATGGAAAAATGCATCTTTTATTAGGCGTTTTTCCTTCATAAAATAATCAGCAAATAAATCATTCTAATCCTGGTTCAAGGAAGAACAATACTGACTTATTTAAGATTCCTAACAACTTCACATATAATAGAATCTTAGAATGGTTCGATTGGAAGGGATGTTAAAGATCATCTTGTTTCAACCCCTCTGCCATGGGCAGGGACATCTTCCATTAGACCAGGTTGCTCCAAGCCCCATCCAGCCTGGTCTTGAATACTTCCAGGGGTGGGGCACCCACAATTTCTTTGGGCAACCTGTGCCACTGCCTCACCACCCTCACAGTGAAGAATTTTTTCCTAATATCTAAAGTTTCAGCTTGATTGCTGTCCTGTGAAGTTTCTTAATCTGACCTAGTATTTCTCTGCCTGACCCATCATTCTGTCTAAACAAATGTTTAAATAATGTGGCCAGCCATTCTTAGCTCTTTTGGCAGTGATTTTTTTTCAAGACCTTTTGTTCTTGGTTTGTGTAGCTTGGGGAATTCGTGCAATACACTCTCATTTCTCCTGCTGCTGGTCAACTGTTGTATTCTTACATTTGCAAATAGCTATTGTGGGAGGCAAGGGATAGATTCACGGGTTTTGGAGTATTTTTTGCAGCAGATTTTCATACACTGACAATTTGTAAGCAGGAAATTCCAAGTGAAGAAGGCTTCAGAGGATCCTACGATAGAACTAATAATAGCCATTTCAAACTATGCTAAAGAAACAATGGCTGCCACAGGTACAGGAAGAGTGGTATATAAAACCTGCAGGACAAAACTTGCATTTCCATACTGCATTACTTCATCATTTGCTATTTAGTCCACAGTGGGAATCCCATTGTTTTTTGCCATGGAACACTGCAAAAGGAGACAAAAGCTGAGTTCACAGTATTTTGATTAGATAGAAACTGAATCACAGTACTTTGATTAGTGTCGCTCTTACATTTATTTTTGAATCTTGTATCTGTATGCAGAAATAGTAGCAAAGCCAAGAGTAGTTCTTGTAACACTCTGCTTAATATCATATTCAGTTGTTGGTCCTTCTGGTTTACAAAACAAGAAGTTGTAACTGCCCGTTTATAAAACATTTTCTAGAGCAAGAAAGCTCTAGAGTTGTGAATTTGTTTCAGTTCCAAAGCTGACATCTGTTCACAGTCATGGCGGAGCACTACAGGATTGGTTTTCATCTCTGAGACAATTTTTGTGAGTTTTGCTTTTCCCATATCTATTTAGTAATAGAGAATAAACTGATGCTTTAGATTATCCCATTTCATTCCCCAGTTCTCAGAGTAACTTAAGCCTTTTGTTGACCTTTTACGCTGCTGCTCACTACTAAACAAATAAATGAATATATGCATCATTTTTTGGTATGGTGTTTTCCTCACCATACTTCTGCCAAAATCCTCCTGGCTATGAAGCTACCTCAGCTGAATGCCTCAGTATTAGTTTTTGAAACACTAGTTCTGGCTTTTTATCATTTGCTGATACAGCAAGAGATGGGAGCTGTGCGACAGTGGAGTTTTCTCTTTTGAAATGGAAATTTTCTTGCCCACCCTTTCCCATTCAGCTAAACATTAGACAGTAAAACATTTCACGATGTAAAAACAACTTGAAGTGAGAAAAGAAAACTAACTTAAATTAGAATTATTTTTTTAACAGAAGTTGATCCTGCATTTTGTATTCCTCTTTAGATTGTATTGTGCCTACAGATGTCCACATAATACAGATTTAATCTGTTAACAGAGATGGATGAAAAAGCCATTGTTTTGTATTTGGGTTTTAGCTTTGCATCTTCTGAGAGGTATGTATGCTCAGAAACCTAGTTCATTTTTTTAAACTTTGATTTTACTATGATAGATTGTATACAATACACTGTCACTATCTGTATTCCATTCTGGCCCGCTCTAGGTATGTTACTCCACCTGAGGCAAGTTTTCAACCAGTCACTGAGATAAGGCTTAAGATACAAGTGTTACATACATACAAAAATAAAGTAAAACCAGAAAGAAATAAAGAAAGAATACCACCACAAAAATGTACATACGCTTTCTACTGATCATTTCTGAAATACATTTTGCTGATCCTCTGATATGCTTTTATTATTTGACTCTGAATGCAACTGTCAATAAGACTGGATGTATAAAAGCTACAAAAGCCTGAGAAATTAATTGCCCATGTCTGCTATCAAGATATTGTATCACCCCTTGATAAGGTAAGAAACATATTCTTGATAGATGCTTATAATCCACTTTAGAGAAACAGCCACCCTCAGAAAACTCAGAAATATGCTGGAGAGAAGACTGTTTTCTTTCAGTTTAAGCACTGGTTTTGATCTGGGCCTAAGCTATGCCTTGCTGTTTGGACTAAAGACTCACTTATCATTTGCTTTTGTTGTTTCCAGTGCCATTTTAAAACATAATAATTTTCCCCTTGGAACTAGCTAAAAACAACTGAATGCCATCCAAAGTGACTCCCAAAGCACAGGACCATTTCAGCAAGTCCATAACTAAATTCCAGCTGGGCATCTTCCTACTGTCTGCCAGAAGTCTCCCTTCTCATCTGCCATGCGGGTGGTTGGTTTGCTCACCTCCATGATAATGAATCAGACACCCAGTGAACCCTCAGCTTGCTGCCCCATCATGCATATCTCATGTGTCAAAAGATTCTGAATCTGAAAAAAAAAATCATTTGGTGATTGCCTACTGCTGCTTATTCAATGGAAAATTCAACCCTGAAAAAATGAGCTGGATTGAAAACATTAGAAAATGTGCATTTACTCACCTTCTTGTAACGTATTTTCATTCAGTCCTGCATGAAAATTCATTTGTGGCACTGATATGGAAAGCAATACAGAAGTTGCCTATCTACTAGAAGTTATACTGTGAGAAATACACCACCTCTCCAGGAGTTTGTTTCAGGTCTGTAATAATGCCCAGGCTGAGTGGTCAAAGCCTTGTATCTTAAGCCTTATCTCAATGACTGGTTGAAAACTTGCTTCAGGTGGAGTATGTAAGAACTTGATTAGAAATAATTTATGCTAACAAAGCATCTTGTGTGATAAAGCATCTTGAAGCTGTTTACTCCTAGCTCTTTCACAGAGGAATTTAATATAAATCATTTACTGTTCTTCCCTTAACTGTTGTTCAACAGCTATTTACGGCATAACTTTGCAAGGTGTCAAGTATCCTGGAAGTAATACAAAGCTCAGTTATTGATGGGATGTACCAGTGTTTCCATAAGTGACCCCCCTGACAAGGCTTATTTGAGTTTAAGGGTTTTATATGAGAGGAAACCTGGAGGAAAAAAAAGGACTGAGATGCAAAACAAAAAGACACAAAATAACTTCTCTTTATGTGAAAGGGAAGTGGAATGTAAAGTAATAAAGTGAATACAGGAGAAATAATGTACAACGCCCTGACCAAGATACGGAAGGACTGCTCAGAAATGATCTGATTTTTGTTCCTGGAGTCTTTCAGACTAGTCTGACGTAAGCATAGAAAATACACACTACAGGGTAGGATTCTCCTCACTCAAGTGGATGAACTAGGTAAGGTAACTTCTCTCATTTCATGCTAATTTCTACACTGTAATCTTAACAAAGGCAGCAGTTTTTGCAGTGGATCTAAATATCTTGTCCTTGCTTAGGTCTTGTTACTCATGCAATATTTTTATACAGCTATAACACCAGTTTACCCAGTTATCCAGGGTAATTACTGCCAGGGAATTACTGCCAGGTGCATGGAAATTTCTAGTTGGCACACACCAGCCATATTACTTTCTTTTGCCTTTGACGGGTCTTTACGGCAAAGGCATGTCCAAGAGAGGAGAAATTTTACCCTCCAAACCACACCATAACATTTTTAGGTGTCTCTAAATTATTTTGTGCAACTGGTCTGATAATGCTTGAAGCAAGAGGCTAAGGATTGCTGGGGGAAAAAGTGCTTCTTGTTTTGAATTTAAGGAGTAACAGCTTATAAATCAAGAACTAAAAAAAAAAAAGAAAATCTTTATCAAGGTCTTCATACTGCCTGTCTTCCTAATCTTGGGGAAATATCTGCATAGACTATGTATGATAGCATTAATGGATAGAGAGAGTAGGATTCTTCAACCAAAGTATTCAGAGGATAGAGGGAAACTTCCCTCTGTGGTACCTTAAGCAACCTGCATTACCTCCCTGGTGAGCATCTGAAGATATATGCCACTAACATACTCAGCCTTCATTACAGCACATCAACACCATTGTTTTGGGATTGAAGTACTTGACCTGCTCATCTACCCAGGAACTAAAGCACAGTATGGTCTTCTTGTGCCCTGCAGGGATGACTGACTTTAAAAGTGTTGCTCCCACCATAAAACATAACCAAGAGGCCAAAAGAGCTGAAACTCCAATGCAGAGTTGCTATGGACAATTATTTATTTTTTTTTTAAAGAGCATATTGGGCATGGCACTGACAGAGAACTCGGTGAAGTAGGTGTCCATTCCAGAAATGGGAATGGCCAGTCAGGAAAGACTTCTTCCACTTGATAAGCTGCACACTTTGCATGAAGGCTACAGGTTGTTATGGTGCACTAAAACTCTTCCACAAATACCTAAATTAAAAGGAAATTATCTTCCACAGAAATTTTTTCCACAGAATGGAATTTCTGTTCATTTTAACTGCCTTGGTAAATACGTGAGACAAAGAATTTGTGCCAGTCTCTATCACTTCTTCCTCCCCAAGTACCATTTCTTGCAGAAGACAATGCAGCCATGGAAGGATACAAGTGAAAATCTGCCCATCTCTTTAACAACTGGCAGAGCCAATCTGCTGCTGCATGTTGTTCTCATGTTCCAAAAACTGGGCAAATAATTATCTAAAATTTAATGAGATTAAATAGCCTGTTCACAGAATAGTCATGTATGTTGCTTACCTGTTCCATTACTCTCAAGAAATAGGCATTTAGTGTCATCAGAGAGTAAACAGAAAGTAAAAGTAAGTTTTGATTTTGACATGACTGATTCTTCTGACAAATGAATATCACTGTTATCTTCTGCTGTGAATCCATTCTGCAAACAATATGTTCTTAAATAGTAAAGTGAATGTGTAAGCTGAGTAAATAATGAATACATGAAATTTTCCCAAGCCAGCCCAGAACCATGCATGTTTTGAAAGCCAATGCTGACAAGAGTGTGCATGATGCTACAAGGTATTCAGAAACTTCCCTTTATTCTTAAAGTCACACTATGTTCATCTGGAAACCTACTGTACTGGGCAAAATCTACTGTGCTGACTCAAGTTAAATTCACAGTTGCATCTTGATATATCACAGCATGTCATTCAGTAATCCCACTGAGGAAAATGTAATTACCACGCAACATCTTGTGCTGTCTTGGGATTTCTCACTAGATAAGCAAAAAATAAATTCCTGTCAGTACTGTAGGAATACTGTTGTAGAGATGTAGGAACAGACCAGCTGGGTCATAAGCCATGATCCTGTGTTGAAATTACTGGCCTCAGTGGATATATTCTTTTTTTAGCTACAGGCTCTATGCCTTTTCTGTCCACCTGAGCATGCAGAAAATTGCCCACTGTCCGAATGAACAATCATTCAATGCAATTAATTCTCATAATATCCTGTCTGGTAGGAATCATAACACAGGAGGAACTGACGGCCAGAGGAATTGCCGTTTGTCTACAGTCATGCAGAAAAAAGAACAAATTTGTTTAAGGAACAGAAATTGACCCCTTGGCTCCACCTCAGATCTCTCCCCTGAGACTTGTTTTAATTTCTATACTGCAACAATACAGAACTGCTGCAGGAACTCATCTCCTGCTGAATACAGAGTGAAATCTAAGGTTTCTGTACCCATCTCCAAAACACTTTCTGAGCTTGCCCCAAGCCAGCTGAATCACTGCCTTTTCCTTTGGAATAGGGACTTCCCCTTGCAGGTTTGTTCTGCCACTACAATGAGTGTCATGATCGCTGTGAGGAAGAAGTGTTAACACCCACATATTTCCACAGTTCAGCATAAAATCCAAAGCTCCTATTATGGACCTATTCTGATTTCTTAATTTAAAGACAAATATACAAATAAAATCAAAGGCAGCTGAACACTCATACCTACAGAGCACAGAAGTGATTCATTCTCATATCCATTCTGATAATGTAGCTGTGGGTGTGAATAATCAAAAAGAAGATCCATAGGTAGCTGTTCACATTCATTTTGTTTCCACTGAGGCTGGCTCAATGTAGAATAAGGAAACTGAGATCTCAGATTACTGTCAGAAAGACTGATAACTTCTTATACTAACATTTAAATGTTAGGGTAGGATGGATGGATATAGTAGCAGGGAAATTGTAGAAAAGCTTGTAAGAAAAAACAAGTTGTCTGCAAGCCAAGACTGAAATAACAGAGAATATATTCCTCAGAGGGTAACAGGCTTCTTGTTTTTTTTTTTCACTTGCTCATTTTTATTTGTTTGCATTTTGCTACTGAAATCTCAAAAGCTTTAGCATAAAAATTCAGCATTTTGAAAAGATTTTCCTTGATGTCTCTGTTTGTTAAGAACAGTTCGGTCTGCTTTGATTTTATTAATGTTACAGGTAGCATTTTGCAAGAAAATGCAATTACTGCAGGAAAGAACAATCAGCCTGAGTAAGTCTGGTTTGATTCATTACTGATGCATTCTCAGTGATTTCAGTGGAACCTAACCAAAGGACTTCTATGCTCTGTGTACTCCAGAAGAGCCCTTTGAAGCCGATATTCAGTGGAAGAACAACTAATAAATGTGAACACCTTTTTCCCTATCTAGGTTTCAAATACGTTTTTCTTTTACAGAATTTCTATGATTCTGTGACTCACGAGCATATGGATATAGCTAAGTATTAGCAGACTAAAGTATTTCAATCAAAGTGTATCGGTTCCAAATGGGGTTTGGTTTACTTTTGCCTAAAGTTTGTCCAGATTTGTGTTCCAGAGTTCTTGAATATTACGATGTATTATAGTGATCACTTCTGTAACTGAAAGGCATGCAAATACTGACTAACAAGTGCAATATTATGCATTGTAATCGGTATATTGAACTCATAATGTTTTAAGTACAGAGCTCCATACTTTTTAATCCCTTTCCCTCAATGCTGTGCTGAACTCTCCATCACTGTAATTATGTGGATGAGAAAAAAATCCACAACAAGTAAGGAATATAGATCTACCTGCTTTAGTTCAAGTTCCCTTCTAGCCCATCAAACATCTTTGGAAATACAGCAACCCTGAAACTTAGAAAAAATGTTGACTGCACTGTAAAAGGTTTTGTGTAGTCCTATAAAAACTAATCTAAACCACAGTATTCCTGCTTTAAATATGATGATAAGAATTAGCCATTTGTCATGACAGTAGCTTGACCTGATGGGCCCTGCAGAGTAGCAGTGAGATCAGCAGGGTCCCTGCTCAGCCAGCAGTCCTCTCCTGTGAAGTCAGGTGCTCACGTTGCTCCCTGGAACAACAGGTTGCTGTCAGCAACTCCCCTTGCACCTGTTCTCTATGATCTGGAGCACCACTGTTGCCTGGATTTCTGAATACAAGCTGTGCAAAAGTCATTGAAACCATCAGGTCCTGCAATAAACTCATGTAACAAACTTGCCTGAATAATACATGTTTGAATCATCTGCAGATTAATATTTAACCTTCAAAAAAAGTGTATTTGTTTCCAATAAGATAGTAGCTTAACAGCTACCTTGACGCAGGAGAAGAGTAGGTATAAACAGGAGTGTTATTACCTCGAGAGAAAAAGTGACTTGTAAACCGATTTAAAAAACAAAAATAAGTCAATTTTCTCTTTCCTTTTGAGAAAGAAAAGCAACCTTTAAATTGGACAACTTAATCAGCAGTGTTTCTGGATGATCCTTTGTTCTGTGTTACTCTTTGAGAGAAGCAAGCAGTTCAGGAGTTGACCTATAATTTTAATTGCTTCTGGCTTCTGCAGATGTGAAAAGTAAACACCTGACACTGAGGACACTACTGGTGGCTCTGCTGCTCTTTGCCAGTGCTGCACTCACTCTTAATGATGAGATAAAGAATTAATATTAATATCCCATAATAAGTAATTTATGGTATATATTTAACGTCTCTTCTTTAACAAACTGGAGTGCTTACAAGTACTTTGAAGGCACTAAACTAAATTAAAAACCATGGTGTTTCATAGCGAGTGGTGTAATGATATTGTACCAGTGTCACACTGTAAAATGGCCAGAGACCAACAAGGATGGTATAGAATCATAGAATAGTTAGGGTTGGAAAGGACCTTAAGATCATCTAGTTTCAACCCCTATCACAGGCAGAGGCACATCACACTAAACCATGTCACCCAAGGCTCTGTTCAACCCTACCTTGAACACCACCAGGGATGGAGCATTCACAACTTCCTTGGGCAACCCATTCCAGTGCCTCACCACCTTTACAGTAAAGAACTTCTTCCCTCTACCTAACCTGAACTTCCCCTGTTTAAGTTTGAACCCATTAACCCTTGCCCTACCACAACAGTCCCTAACGAAGAGTCCCTCCCCAGCATCCTTATAGGCCCCCTTCAGATACTGGAGGGCTGCTATGATTCAAAACATCCATGTTCAAGTGAGAGACTGAGGAGATCACATCCAGAGGATGACAGTGGCTGGACTGATCATGGACCACATTTCCCCATTTTGTCACTGGCAGTGATATTTCCCTGGTGTTATCTAAAGGGCAGAACAGTTTAAACTGCATTTAGGATTGTAAGTTTCTGGGAGGGGAACAGTGAAAGCTTTGTATTACGGTATACTTTTAGTATTGGCATGATAAAATGTCCATTGGATGAGATGCTCCAGAATGAGGTCTCACTCTAGAATTTTTAGCTTCCTATTTGAAATTGGTTCACTGAATTGATCCAGGTCAAGAACTTCCTCAAAGAGCAACTTTCTCTGTTAGACCATGTCACATTGTTGAGAAGCGCCGGGATGACTTCTGTGAGTTATATGGTTACTACTTGATTATGTTTACCTTTATATTTTCTGAAATATGCTAGTCCTTCTAATTCTTTGCTCTGTGCTTACTCTGAGTTTCTACCAGGAGTAATTAAAAGAAAAGAATGGGATATCTGGAATATAAATGTTCCTCGAGATCTCAGAAATTCATATCCCCACTGTGCTTCTGGAAAACAAAATCATTTCCCTTGATAGTGGGGACTGAAAAGATCTACATTCAGGATTCATTTCCAATTGACAGCATAATGACACTGTATTTGCTCCCCATTAGTTTAGGAATCCATGGAGCACTGAACCAGCTGTGAAGTCTGCCATGGCAGATTTGATTCTCAACATGTTACTGAAGTTTTGCAGGTTATTTCCCCCCCCCCCCCCCAGTTGTTCCTGGCACAGTAGACTAAATAAACCCAGAATTTACAGGTGGCTGTTAATTCCACGTTTTGTTTCCTTCACAAGAAACTAGTGACAAGGCTGCACTACTTGTGAAATGCAGTATATGTATGAAGCCCCTGAACCACATCCGTTTCTCTCCTTGACTAGTGTATTGTTTTGAGAAGTGAACAGTTTGCAAAAAAATTGGTTAAAAAAAGAATAAATCATCATGGAAGGTTGGGAGGGTATCGCCCCAGCCTCGGTTATTCTCTCATGCTGGAGAATAATGGCGCAGAAAATTATCAGGAAACAATGGCTTAAAACTGATGTAAACCGCAGAACTGGATGGCTTCTGCAAACTGATGAGTAAACTGTTGAACTGGTAAAGCTAATACGTAGTTAATGTTACTGGTGAGAAACTTCGTCCATGAGCATACTCATTGAAACCAACTGGACTATCAGCTTCTAGCCTGCCGGCATGGGACCAGAGCCCTCAGCACTTTGTGGGAATTAACACTGCCTAGAAGTTCCCAAAATACACAGGCCGGAACATATATACCTGCAGCTGACTGCTACTCATGTTACTTCAGATAAACTTAAGTCTTTTCAGATTAAAAATATACTGGGGAATAAATTTCACTCCTCTTTTAATATGATTAAGTTCCTGAATAATATTTAGACAGCATGTATCTGTTGCAACAGTTTTAACTTTGCTGTCTTTTGTTCTTTCTACAGGCAATTAAAAAAGACATGACTGAAATTCTTCCATCTCAGCCAAATGGATTGATGAATTTTAATGGAGAACGTTTATTCCAACCTTTAATTAAGTTTGGCAGTCTAAAATCATTATTTTTTGTTTTGAAACTACGCACTCTATCATGAACACTTAAAGCTTTACAACTCAATCTCGCTACAGGGTGGATGTGTGTGTGATAATGCAGCTTTCTAGGAGCTGTCTTTGTGCATTTTAAATTACCTTTCCTTTGTTCATGACATAACACAAAACATTTAAGGATTTACCCCAGCAGAGGATGGAGCAAACCTCCGTGTGACACTGCTTCAGCTAAAAGCAGTGTTTTAATCTTAAGAGGTCATCATAAATGTTGATAGGCAAGTAATTTAATCTACTTTCTTCAGCCCATGTAAATCTTAATACAGAGCTACTGCTTTAAACTAAAAAATAAACGAAACTGCATTATCTGGTGTTATTAAGCTAAATTACGCAGTGAATGCTACTACAGATTTCCTTGTGAACATACTTGCAATAGTTTAGCCTTTGGGGTGGAAATTATTTCATTTTAATATGCTTTCTGGAGCACTGCCAGAGTTACAGGCAGTATTGTATATGAGGGAAGAGGAATTCTAGAAGAATGATAGTGTGTACCTTGAGATCCTGAATTCTTTTATTTTTTACAAGAAGAAAAGGAATCTCAAAGAGCATTAAAGTACAAAATCTTTCTGGTAGCCACCTTGGACTCTTTCATCACCTGCTAGAAGCCCTTATAGTTGTTTTTTTCAGGCTTTACTGATGCTTTAAAATACAGCACACTTAGATGGATGGAAGATGAGACCCCAGAGAACTCTTCTAGGCAGCTGCTGTTTGGAATGCAGTGATCAGTAAAACACATCAGCTGGAGATACTTCTGAATGATGGCAATGTCTGGATTTGCTTTAACAGTTTCAGGTGTTGTCCCAGAGCACTTGGCATCCTGTCCACAGGAACAAGTCTTTCTGGTACTAGCTTTGGAGCTTGTTACTGTTCCTCCCCTGAGGCTGGGATCTTTTCCCACTACAGGGAGAACTGGTGGTGTGACTGTTGCATCTCTTTGTTGCGCAGCTTCAACTCCTAGTCTGTACTGAACTGCAGTTGGTAAAGAATTTATAAACACAGCCTAGGGGAGTTAAGGAATACTTTTCAGGCTATAGAGTACAAAGTAAAGCTGATTAAAAAACATAAAATCAAAAAGGACAGAAAAAACAAAACCAAACAAAACAACCTAAGTTTTGCAGGCACTTGAAATATATCCCTTAAACCTCTTTATAAAGAAAAATGCTTAGTTCAGAAAATTCTGATATTCTCTCCTCTCCGGAATCAGAAGTAAAAAGGCAATACAATAGGAAAAAATGAAAAAGAAAGCTTTTACTTAAGCCCTTCCCCTGTCACACACAAGAAAAGAAACATCTTTCATGTTCCTAGAAGAAATTAAAATTTACTTATAGATTTCAAAAGCAGTTAATTTGGGGGAAGGGGTCTTTTGTGTGAATAATTGACTTTTCCATTATTGAAGAATCATTTGAGACCTTGAATGTTTCAAAAGGCTCGTGCCATTGAACCGTGGGGTTTGTGCACACTAGAAGACCAGAAGCTGCAAGTTTAAGGTGGCGACAGAGCAGTTGATGTTGTCTGATGCCAGTCCGCAAGAAGGCAGAGCTGGGGAAAACCTTGGATTTTCTCATCCACCTAACTGAAAAGCGTATCTCACTACAGGTATGCTCCTTATTTAAGTGAAACCCCAGACACCCCAAACTGGGTGCTAAAGCTTCCACTAAACAGGGGGAAGGTGTCACCCCTCCCATTTCATATGTACCACTGCTTACCACAGTGATACAATTAACTGTAGGTTTCAGGAACCAGAAATGGCTGGATAAGTGGTTTAGGGCATGATTAAGAAAACATGGTCTTTTCCTTTGCAAGTGGTCACTTACTCCAGTGGAACAGATTTTTGACAGTTCATCACAGTAATACCATCATATTTCAGACCTCCAGTTGTTTTGGATCCTTTTCTCGACTCCATGCTTAGGAGAAAGAAGAGGGTAAGCAGCAGCTTACAAAAAACCCCTATGTTAAAAATTAAAATGATTCTTAATTTTCTGTCCTTTGTCATCTCATGCTATTCTCAGAAAATATTTTAAACAAATGGGAAGCGTGACCACTTTATTTCTTGTCTTCAGAAATGTAAACTCTGCACAAGTTATATTATATGGCTGGACTACAGATGTGTCAGGATGGCCGGTGGTGTCAGGTGTAAAATCTGGGCTAAAAGGTAACGTACACAGGTCAAAACTGAGCTTATCAGCTCTTGAGACAAGCTGGAAATTGAGGGTAAGCCACTTCCAGTGGCTAGAAGGAGAAATAATTGAGGGAATCAGCTTGCCCTTGTAGGAAACTGTGAGTTTAACATCAGATAAAAGAATGACACCTTTTTTATGAAGGGCACTCATATCTAGTTTGTTTAAACCTTGAAATCAGGGAAGTAGTGTGCCTGTCAGGCTAAAAGGAAGATCTTGGACTACAGCTTTTATCAACCCTGAAGCTAGTCTCAGTTTAGTTTAACTTTTGAAAAAACAAGATATATCCACTTTCTGGATCACATCAAACAACATTTAAGCTATTGCTTTATTCTTTTTGCGTACCTGTTAATTTTGTTGAAGAGCCGCTGATTTATGAAGTCAATGAGAAAAAACCCAAGAAAACATCCAGTAACAGCAATCCAATCATTTAACCTCAAGCTGCCTATTTATACATTCATTCCATGTTTCACTCTTTAATATAATTACTCCTGTTTGGAATAGACAATGATGAAATGATCTGACCTTTATGTTTTACTGCTCGATTAATTTTTATGTATTTGCTGGGAAAAAAAGTAAAATCAGTTACTGAACACTCTTATTAATATTCAAGTACTTTTGCATGTCCTTCCTGCTCTTCAGAAGAGTTGCCACGTAACAGAAAAGTACTCCTTTCTTCTGCACTACAGCTAAGCAAATTTTTATTAACAATTACTGAGTTTTATGTCACTTTAAAAAATCAGTTTAATCTGCATGTATATCTTCAGGCAAATATATTTAGACAAAGGACCATTTATTGTCATTGTGACTACCCTGATCACTTCTACTGCCTCACTGGCTGAGCTGAAGCAGTTTTACTTTTTAGTTCTCCAGGAACCAGACCTAAGATTTAAAAAAATTGACTTGGCTGCTCTGATGCAAAGAGGTACAAGATGGGGTTCATAATGCTGACTTGGCTCCCTAGCGTAGATTGTTTCCTACATTGAGATTCACAACAGCCACCATGCTAAATTCTCAGCCAGGGAAAAAGAACAAAACAAATGCGAAACTCTATGTCTATAAACAGATCTTAAGCCTCCCTCAGCCTGCAGAAAGTGCCTTAAGGTAACCTGCACCCATACATGAAAGTCTATCATTCCTAAAATTGGAGTCCAGGAGCACTGGCCTGCCAGGATTAATGGGCAAACTTTCAGTGCCTTGGTTCTAAGCCCTACTCAGCCTGAATGTTTAAACCCACAGATTTAACTTTTTGACTAGAAACCTACCAGTGCAGGATGCCACAGTCATCTGGGCTGGCATTAGCCCTAAAGTAAGGTGAAACCCTTCCATTCCTTTAGGCCCTGGAGGCATCTATATCCTTGCTTTGGATTTATAGGTAAATTTGAAAACATTTCTGTGTATTTATTCTGTCAAATTCACCTGGTGTGACTGTCTCAGAACTCTTGAGAGTAGGCACAGCAGACCATCAGTGAATGTTTATTAATGTTAAGGGGAGTTCTGCCTCCTGAATGTGTTAACTAATCATTGTTTTATAAAATAGAAAAATTTGGCTATGAAGTCAGACCAGGTTGCTCACAGCTTGATCCAGTCAGGTCTTGCAGACCACCAAGGATGGAGACTGTAGAGCCACCCCGGGCATTCTGCTTCTCTCCTGTACACAGAACCTGGATGTCATCTAGCAAGTCCTAAACAGAGATAACCAGTCACCTCAGCCTACTGGCTCTACCCTGTTCATGCAGCTGTGGATGCAGATGATCTTCTTTATTACTGTTTATACAACTCAACAAAAAGTCTAATCCTCTGTCTCAACCTGCAGAGTGGTATTTGCTCAGGCAGGGGCTGCTTATACATTTGACTTGGTTCTGATGTTCAGACTGTTTGGAATATATTCTGTTGATTTCAGTCATTTTTTAAAGGAAACTGAACAGTCAGACTGGTGATAAACAGTAAATACAGTAAACCTGTGCAGATCTGAAAAGAAGTAAAATACATCAACACTGTTATATACAAAATTATTCTGTAAAAATTCAAACAGACATAGCATGAAGTATCCCAGAAAGACACAGTCTGAAAAACAATAAAATTCCTTCTAGAGATCATGTGGTGCGAAAACACAGGTTTGCTCTTCATTTTTCCACACTTGCAAACTGTTCACTACCCAAACTGAACAAAGAAAGATGCTCCAAACTAACTAATACAGTCAAGCCTTCAGACATGGAACTGTTTGTAAGCCTATAAAAAACTTCTACTATACCAGAAAACACATTTCTCTTAGATTCAATTTGTAATGTAAGCCAGTGTTTCAGCAGCAGGCCTGGGAGCAGCCCTAAAGCAAGAAAAAAGGAAAAAAGAGAAATACTATATTGCTTCCAGGGAAAGATAAACAGGTGTAGTAGAAAAAGGTCTCTGATAACATAGGCAGTGGAGCTTTAAGCACTGTGGGAGAAATTTCATTCTCCAAACCAATAATATCTGCAGTCATGACAGAGTAAAGGATCAAACGTGACATGCAGCTCTACTCTGTGCTTCAAACACGACTTCATCATTCAGCATAAGCCATGGTGTCAAAGATGCACCAGAAGATAATGGCTGTCTCTATGTTCAATTTCTTACATATAATCATATGGGCTAGAAGGATTGAGACAGAATCTGAGAGGGTGGTATCATGTAAAATGGATGAAAAAAAAAAAGACAATCTATGCAGCTGGTTTGTTTAATTATCTGTTTTCTCAAAAAGACACAGAAAGTAAGTGCCTTAAGCTAAACTAATTTTTTTTTCTGGTGCAAAAAGATGTAATCCAACAGGTTGGGATGTTGCCAGCATAAAAGAAACTACTTAAGGGAGAGATCTTGAGAAGCAGCTAGTGAGTTTTGAACAGTAGGCAACGGATGAGATCCTGCTTCTCTGCAAGATTTGTGCCTTATTTGTGAGATCAGATAAATGTAAGAGCCTTGAGTAAAAGTGAATTGGGGTGCACAGAAACAGAAGAATTATATATTCTGTGTTTTCTTTACCCTCTTTTTTGCTGGGACACAAAGCTTTCAATGTGCTATCATACAAAACAAATCTTCATCAGTGTAATCAGTATGGTAGGTTAGGAACGCTGTTCCCACTCTACAATAATGAGCTTTTTTTTTAAAAAAAATTTTGGTGTCTCTTTTAACTGCATTTTAAGAAGTTTTTTATCATGTACACTAGTTTTCAAAATTTTAGAACATGTGCAGCTATCTTTTGCTTAGTATGAAGGTTTGACCACCTGCTCAGGAGGAGCATTTTAGAGAAAATTGTCACATACTGCACGTGTATTTTCTTTGCAGAGTCCAGCTACTTCTTGACTGTTTCCTAGTAGATGCATCAATATGCTATTTGTGTGCTTGCCCTAAAGCTTCACAGTAGTTGCCATGAATCATGCTTTTTCATGAATCATGAATATTCTTTATTCTTGATGTACAAGCAGCACCTTCTGTTAACCATGTAAAGGTATTGGAGTAAACCAGATAATTCATGTCACAGCAGCTTAATAGTTGTAGCAGGTTGTTAATGAACTCTCTATATTCATGTAAATGTCTGATATACTTCTAAAGAAACCTGTCATGGATGAAAGGTAGCTGAACAACCATTAACTAAGACAAAGCAAAGGGTCATCTTGTACTTTTGGAAGTGAATGCTTCCTGTCAGTGTAGTAAGAATGCAATTATCTCAAGGAAACAGATTAAAACTTATGGTATTCAGAAGAAAGTACAGTAAGAACCAGGCAACGGTCATTAGGGCTTTTATATTCTAATTCTCCTGCTTGTTTGATGTCTGACAAGCTCTTCAGCTTATTACCTGCAAAAAATCTATATATGACAATATATCTGATGCCAAATGGGAGAGTTACAATAATGAGAGCTTCAAATAATCCTGTAAAAGCTGCTATAGCCACTCACTACAGTATTATTGAACTACCAGGCAGCTATAAAACAATACAGTTTAAAGAGCTGGACAGATGAGGGCCAAGTACTCAGGAGAAATAACAGAAAGGTTGACTTCAAGGCTGTGCAAGTCTTGATTCATTTACTAGTAAAGTATTTCACAACATTTAACTATATTTGAAGAAGCCACTACAACTAGACAAGCTGCATGAGCAGTTATTACTGATGGTGTTCACAGAATTCACAATAGCTCTGTTGTCTATACTTCAACTGGATTTGGACATAGAGATCAGCCTGTTGACTTGGCAGACAGCCTACATTACAAATTCTCAGCTAATACACCAAAGAAGTACACCTCTTTCATTGGCTAGGTGTATTATATATATGTGTGTGTGTGTATATAATTATTTTAATCTTTGCTCTTGTTTAAGCACTGAGATGGGAATAGAAAATTTAATCCTCCCTCTGGGTACCAGGATTTGGAATAGCTGCCTCTGTCATTCTGGAAATAAGGTTTCATGTGCCTGAGGAGAGCCAAGGGATGAGACAACTCCCTCCAATACTGCCGGGGTGAGACTGACTGAACAGAGCTCTGGTGGAGTCCAAGCAGACTCTCTTGCCAGGAGGAGCTCCCAGTATGAAGGTGTTGCTCTCTCTGCTCGTGTTACCAGTTCCTTCAAGCAGCAAAACTGCCCCATAGACAACAGGATCTATAAACCAGCATCTTTTTGTAAACATTTCCGGCTCTGAAGCCACAGAATGGTAGTTCTTACTAAACAAAAAGTATTCTACAAGCCAATAGTTTAAAATGAAAGAAGAGAAGGTGAATGATTCACAGGTTGCTGCAACATTAAGCATTTCAAGGCTGTGATTCTCAGAAAAAAAAAAAAAGTGAGAATAAAGCATTATTTTACTAGGTAGAAATTTTTTTCTAGATGAGATATCAGTCCCCTCATTTCTGCAAAGACAGATTGTGAATTCTGTGAACACCATCAGTAATAACTGGTCGTGCAGAAATGAGGGGACTGATATCTCATCTGCAAAGACAGATGAAATTATTGTTTGTTGTCCAAAAGACTGTGTAACAGTCTTTAGCAACACAATAAAGACCTTGCAACAAAAAACACTCTAGACATGGGTACATACAGCTAAGCATCTGCAATATGGGAAAGCTCCTTTCAGACTGATTCAGAATGGGGACTGTTTTTTCAATTGCCTGTTGAATAGGTGCTTTCTTCCACTGCGAGATATATGACATTTTATGAAATGAAAACATTTTTTTGACCAGTCTTAGTCAAGCTGCCCCTTGCAAGTGGAGATTAGCCACACGATCCATCTAGCATGTAAATTCCCTTGATTAAAAACCATAAAGTTCAAATTACAGTTTCCAAAGGGCTGTGTAAGCACTGGAATGGAGGAGGGATTTGCATGCTGGATCCATCAAAGATTAGCAGAAATGCTGTGAGCTGCTGCAGTGGAGTTAATGCCCTGCAGTGACATTGCCATTGGAAAATGCCACACCCATTTTCCTCCAAATTAATAGTCTTTCAGGTGTTGAGACTTTACAAGTAAGTTCTGGACATTTCAGGGCAGGTATTTTTGCGATAGTGTTTCCTGTGTTTGGCTTTCCCAGGGTGTACCGCTTTGTAGAAGCAGCAATCCCATTACAGGGTGTCAGAAACTGGTTGGAGTTGGAAAAGGTTTGTTCTTCGACTGTTCTGACAAGGTCTACTGTTCTGTCTTCTCTGCCTCATATGCACAGTCCCTACCATGAGCCTCCCTGAAAGCACAATACAGTAACAAGAACTCCAGGAGCTGAAACTTAAAATATGTTGTTGTTGTGTGGTATTAACACTCTGCAGAGCCTGGTGTGATACAGCAGTGTGACGAATCTCCTTGCCTCCCCATTCTGCCAAGCATATTCATAAGCAAATATACCAGTTACACACAAACAGGAACTGTGTGTATAGATAACAGAAAAAAAAAATAAAAATGGGAACAATCTCTGATGAGATTGTTTTAATGACAACTAATATACCATGGAAAAAATCCCCACTCCAGGGTAAATTACTTTGTATGGGCAAATATCACTTATTTTTGAGTGAAATGAAGTGATCGGGATAGAAATGTAAGGTTTCTAGCTTCTTTTAACTAACTTTTAACTAAACAGGTGTTCCCCTATGGAAAGAAAGCATCTTAGATTTTCTTGAGACCAAACGTAAGAAAAGAGAGTGAGAGCAAAACACCCATGGTACATTCTAATTCAAGATGATTTTGTAAATATTCAAATTTGTACCTGATTTTTTTTTGTTTTCTTCTGGGAAAAGGCTGTCAAACGAGGCAAGCACTATAGAGATGTATTTTTGCCCATTAAGTTTGCATGTCTGTCAGCACTCCTTCCAGCAGCAGAACTGGCATCAAATGCAGCTGTTCCACACCTGTAGCTAGGAGACTTTTCTGATTTTGACAGCTGGATAGGCAACGTCCTCATGGACTTAATCTGCAGTGCTGGGTTTTTTTCCTTCTACAAGAAAGAGTATTTTCTAGAAGCTTTTTCTTCTTTTTTTTTGCACCTTTTACGCAACACCACTAGTTTGCAAGTGTCTCTTTAAATCATTTAACAGGAAGAAAAGCACACCTGTCCATCAGCTCCTACAGCTCAAGAAACTCCAGCATTTCTGAAGACAGCTGTAGACTACACAAAGGGCAAACCACTGCTAGCAGCACCAAAACCTCAGACCTGCAGCAGGTACTTCCATCAGAAAGGCAGGGCGCACTTCTGGAGTGCCCATTCAGGCATGCAAACATTATCTCAACAATTCTACTAACTTTTCCTAGCAACCGCGATGTTCTTGGCTATGTCACGGTGCTCGCTGGCGCTCCATGCTCGCTTCGCCTCTGCAGCCGGTCCCCTCGGGACCGTGCTGCCGGCGCTGCTGGGCGCACCCACTGAGGCGCTCACCGCAGGGCGGGGCGGCACGTCCGGCAGGCGGCGCTGTGGCGCGGCGGGCAGCACTTACCATGTTGACTTCGGAGACCACGTCGATGCTGGCGATCTCTATCCGCATGCCCACATCCACGGGCGGACCTGCGGGGGGAGCGGGAGGCGGCGTTAGGCGGAGGGAAGCGCTCGGGGGTCTGGGTGGGGATCCGGGCAGCGCGGGCGCCTCACCTCCGAAGTCGGGCCGCAGGCGGATGTCGTAGCCCTGAAGCAGCCTGTCCACCGTCTCCTTCACGTAGGACATGTTGCTGGGCCCGTCGGCGCTGCCGGAAGGAGCACAGGCAGGTGAGAGAGGCAGCCGGGCAACCCCATGCGTACGCCCCTCCGCGGCCCGGCGGCACTCACCTGCGCGCCGCGCACGCCACAGCCAGTACCAGCGGCAGCAACAGGGCGCGCGAGCCTTCCCGCCGCGCCGCCATCGCGCACCCCATCCCGGCTCCGGCCGCGCCGCCGCCGCCTCACGGGGGAAGAGCCGCAGACTGCAACTTCGCGCCGAGCGGAGCAACAATTCCCTACTGCACACGCATGCGCGGAGCGCACCTCTGCCCGCCACGGACCGTGTGTGGTGACACCGGCGGGATCGGGCCCGACCGAGCGCTGAGGGCCGGGCCGCAGCGGACAGCGAAGCTGAGGGGCTGGCTGGGCTGGCCGGGAGTCCCCGGGGCAGCCACTGCCGCCAGGGCGCGAACTTAAGAGAGAATAATCGTTGAGGACACTTCTCTGTGAAAGTTCACACATGGGCTCTGATGTTAACGATAATGTGGAGTTGGCAAAGTGGAAAGCGATTGCACGTTTTGATGCTTTGTCCAGCTCTGAAGGCTTAACGGCGCATCCCTCCATCCATCAACCATCCATTCATTAACATGCCGACCTGAGCGCTGCTGCTTGAGCAGGTTTGTCGCTGCAGCAGTCCCACAAATACCTGCTGTGGCACATGCAGGAGACGGCAACAGATTTTTTTAGTCGGTGTTCTATAACAAAAGTGGTTGATCTTGCATTTAGAGGGGGGCATATTTATTTTAAAGACTAGGAATTGGTGCCCCAATATAGCTTGACCTCATGTTTCCCATGACTGACTCCTCTGAGCAGTATTAAACCCTGACTAGCTGAGGCCACTTGAGCAATTTATGACTTTGCTGGTGCTGGTCTGTTTTCCCAGCACAGTAGCTCAGCACAGGTAACATCTATCCTTTTCAAATTCAACGCATCTTACCTGTGTTATACACAGATGAGTGTGGTGACCTTGGTATGTATATTTGATGGTTTTGAGGCTCCTACAGTGTCATGCAGACTTCTGGGGGTGCTTTTGTGATTGATATTTGAAAAGTGCAGGAGTTACAATAGATAGTTTGTGACACAAATTCTAATCATGATTTTTATCATTTTAACAATGCATGTTTCTATGCAAATTTGTTCCTCTTGGAGAAGGAGCACACTCCTACAGGAGTCTTTCAACCTAACAGCTACTTCCTGTAACCATGATAGTACAAGTTTATAAAAAGAATTATTTTATTGATGGTTTGTAGCAGTGTAATAAATATTTTCAGTTGGTTTGAGAACTTTTATAGTGAACAAATCTTTGATTTCTTCCTGTTTTAGTCCTTAGTTGGTGACAAATGTGATCTCCCAGCTCAACTAATGGTACTTCAGCATTGCTGTTTAGGAAGAGTTTTTAAAATTTGCTAGTCATGATTGGCATATTTTAGTAGTCTTCAATTATAATGTGGTGCAGCACTTAAGAAAGCACAGCCATGATAAAGTTACCAGGCTCCTCTGAAGCACGGGGTTAGAATATTCCATGGGATAAGAGTCCCTTTTTGGTTTTAGTGGAGTGCAGCATTATATCATATAAGTAATTCTAATTTTGTCATAATCCATGTGAAATACAGATATGCCTGTGTGGAAGGGAGACTGCTGCCATGGCTTGCCAAAATCTGTCTTAAGGCATATTTGCAAGGGTTTATTCTATATGAATTCATCATTCTCTGTACATTTCAGGGTAGCTTTAGTTTGGACTATGTATAGTCTGGTCCCTGGTGCATTTCTGGAGCTTGTCATCTGATTGGAAGGGGCATGAGCTAAACCTGCCCTGCAGGTCTCCTCCTCTTCAGGATGCTTCAGCCCAACACATGTACTTACACAGAGGGTGAGGATGTTCTCCTCAGCAAACAGGTTCTTCTTAGAGCTCTACCAGCTGAGCTGTTCTGTCTTCTGCAGACCAGTGTCAAGCTTCCTCCACTGAGCATCCTAAAAATACGACTACTGAGCCATAACTGTTTCCCCAAAGTGGCACACTGTGGAAATCCAACTCCATTTTGTTCAGCTTGAGCACTAGGGAGATCTGGGCTCTAACCTAGGGTCTTGAAACAGCAAGTATCCTGCTGTGTCGAGGCAATGCTGTAAAAGTCCCTCAGTAGCTGCAGCTTGGAAACAAAGAGGTTTATGTGGTACTGTAGTAACCTCACAAAGGAAGAGCTGCATGATATTACACTGCTACAGCAGGGGTGGTAAGGTTCCTTTTTGCTCCATTGGGTGGATGATGGAAGCATGTCTGGGACCTTCTTCTGTTGCTTCTAGGACTAAAAAAGATAACTTCCTACCAGCAGGGCTTCCACTTTCCCACGTTACCAACTAAAATGCTCAGTATTTTTATCTGAAGTTCAAGAACTTCAAGTTCTGCTTTCTTTGCAGAAGATCTGTTTATAGGAAAATATAGCATACTTTTCCAGGCCACCAGTGCAGAAGAATCTTGTCATAATTTTGATAAAAATACTCCTTGCAACACAATTCTTGCTTTGGCAGCTCTTTAACAACCCCTTTTACAAAGAACACGTGATGTCCAAAATGAGTGACCATGGCAGAAGCAAACTTCCAAAGCCATGATATTACCACCATTGTGCATAAACATTCTCTAAAAGTTTTACAGTTCGTGAAGACAACTGGTGGTGTGATTTACAAATGTGGTTCAAACTGCAGTTTCTTCAGAAGTCAATAAACTTGATTAAAAATACAGCAGTGTGTCTTTGCATCCACTGCAGTGGTGTTTGCTCGCTCACTCAGGCTGAATGAAACCTGATGGGTACCCAACATGACTTTTAGGCATGTTGGGACTTGCTGAGCACCTCAGAATTTAGGCACATAAGTAGATGAGCTGTTTTTTACTTTTGGGTGTCAGGCTGCTTTGTGCCTAAAAGCCTAGAAGGTTAATCTGGACACTTTTGCCACTAGTTTGCAGTATTTTTAAAGACAACCAGAAATTGTGGTGGCTTCAATTTTTCTCTTACTCTCTTTTCCTGTGGTTATTTTCTTAAATATCTTATTCAGTAGTCTCTCTTCTTGAAAACATTGCTAATGATCATGCCAAATTCTTTTCCCACTCATTTCTATGCTGGGTTTAGTATTTATAGGGTCTATGAGATAGGCATATATCTTATTAATAGGATTATAAAAATATTTTTTGGGGCTGTCTTAGGGAAGTCATACCTTTTGGGTTAGGAATATTTTCATCCTGATTAAACATATATAAGAACTAGTAAACTAAAACAATTGAAATCCACTGGTTCTAACATAGTAGACATGACTTCTTTTTTGCTTTTTTTTTTCATATTCTGAGGCATGTCAAATGCTTACTAGAAGCAAGACATATGATACAATCTCAAAGCATGATGCATGAAACCATCCTGGACCAGTTCCATATTAATTTTTCACCTTCATTATGCATAAACTTTCTGGAGGGAACCTTTTTTTCTTACACAAAGAAATGTTTCTAGTTTATTAAAGATCTTTTTCACAGTGCTCATTTTCATTTGGAATCAGAAAGTGCACAGAGTACAAAGATAATGTCCTGCCCAGACAATATAGAATGATTAAAAGGAATGCAAGATCACTGAAAAAAAAAAAATAAAGGGGGGAAATTATTCCTGTTTTCCACTGGATAGGCTCTGTAGGAAGGAAGGCAACAAATTTTAATGAAGGTAGGGGGAAAAATGCAAAAGTGGTGACTGCAAACTTTCTCTAGTGATACTCTGTGCTTTCTTAAATGTAGAGTGGGGGAAGGTATGTCTTTGTGATTATGCTCAGAGAAGGAGAGCTGTGTGCCTCACACTGTGCATTTTGTATGTGGAGGGGATGACTGAAAATGATGATATTTGTATTACTGGCTGCTTTGAGTAATTTGAAATAGGGACTTGCAGACCCAGGATACTCCTAAGTGTCCAACTGTAATCGCAGTTTTCCAATCACTGGGGAGAACTACTGTGGGAGCAGGTACCCCAGCCACAGGCCAGGAGCAGGACTGGTGTTAAGTGTGAAAGCAGCATCATTAATTAGTGAAATTCCATTACAATGTAACAGTGTGCACAGAAAATGGAACAGGAAACCAGGCTGGGGATCTTTGGTTTACATCTTGTGAGGCATCTGGACCTCACTGGTTTCTTGGCTGTGTGAGCTTTTATGCTGCATACACCCCAGGAAATATAAAAACGGAGAATTAAGATGGGTATATATTTTTTCTTACTTGGCCATGAGCAAGTGAAAATTTGCAATAACTGTACTGATAAGATATATTTGAAATTTTAGATCAAATTTTCAAATTTTTTAAAATTAAGATAAATGATTTGGGTTTGAAAGCTATGAAATGAAACCTAGGAACTGTGAAATGACTACCTGTGCAGGTAAAAACCAAACCCTGTTAATATTTATACTTAGAGAAAAGAGGCAGGTAAAGAAATAGGTAACATGTTTCATCTGCTTAGTGATGATGCTATTGTCATTTTACATCTACAGTAGTCCCTTGACTCAGATACAGCTTGTGAGCAGTCTTCCTCGATAGCAGAAAATGGCAAGTTGGAGATACTTATAGTGTGCTTATGGGATTTCAGCACAGTGGCAAGCTGCAAAAGCGATGGAGAGAGTTGTGGAGTGACAGACTGAATGTGTGCTTTATCCTGGGATCTGTAGGCAGCATGATGCTGTCCCACACTCAGATCACCTTATCCACCCAGCCATTTTGCTTTCCATCAGGTTTCTCAATAAGCCTCAACACCCTCACCCTTCCTGCAGGAAATAAAAAAGATACACTTCAAAACTCATGCCCTTGTGCCCCATTTTTATCCCTCTTTTTTATGCTGTCAATTAAGATCTTAGTGCAGCTTCTAATTTCTTTCAAGAGCCTGTAAAACACTTAGGATGGTGCGTTTAAAGAATTAACTGTAAATATCAAAACTGTGAGTTGAAGTTATGACCTTTAATAATCAAAGTGAGAAGAGAATATATAAGAGCTATAGGATTCTTTATATCCTATAATATCTGCAGCCAGAATAATTTAGTGAGTCTGTAATCATGTCAGATAAACGTCTGTAACACACATTTGAAATCCCTTTTTGTATCTCCCAGCCTTGTGTCTACACCACAGTAGATTTTCTTTGCCCCCTCCTCATGGCCTGTGGGAAGCAACTCTGCTGATCTTCTGAGTTCTTCAACCCAGGTTTGGGAGACTCAGAAGCTC